CAAATCAGTGTCATGTGAGTGCTGACAGATATACGTACTTGGATTTCATTTATTTCTCCATGGGTCAAATCTTCTTGGGTAGATTTCAACAGTCTAGCCTTCCAGTACTTTTGTGAACACACATCATGTCATGTGGCAGCCATGTTATCTCCAAGCAGATTTCACCAAAAAACGTGAGAGAGATAGTCAATACCCAGAGCTCTTTTCATCTGGCCCCATTTAAGGGAAGATTCATGTCATTAAGAGACTGAACTGGTACCTTCCATCAATGTGGCAATAAAATCCAGAAAACAGAGCTGCAGTTCCACTATTGACTAAGTTGGGAAAGAGAAGCCTTGTTAACCTTCTTAAAACATTCTAATGATTCTGAGAGTTGTTTGGTGGGCTGACATCCTGTTTTCGAGTTTTAATCCCTTAACCCTTTCATGAACCAAGTACTTTCTGGTTTGACTGTTTTGTTGACACCGTATGTTTTCGTTAATGAAAGCATGCTGAATCATTAAGAGTGTCTGAATTTTTGGTAGGTAGTATGGATTCTTTTCTTCTTGCCCCCTTCCACAAGTCTACCCTAAGCATTTAGTGGTACAGATGAAGTACCACTAATAATACCCGAGAGTCCCCACCAGAGTCTATTCGTACATATGTGTAACAAATAAAAATTTTCAAAATTTCTATTTTTCATATCAAAAATCCAGACACCTCATACAATACCCTGTAAAAACAGTAATTTGTGGCACACTCGTTTCTTCAGTGTCAAATGGTTATATTAGAGGCCCCTGCCTTGTGGCAGCATGCACTATCAGTGGTGCAGCAGCTTCCCAATAAACCTTCAGAAGCAGAAAAAGTACTTGGTCCCTAGAGGTACCCATGAGCACGAAAGGGGAGGGAGAAGGGAGTTACTATTATTTCCCCATAATTGCAATCGCTGCATCAGAAATCTTTAAAGCTGAACTTCACATCCCAAATGAAAAAGAAAAAGAAAAAAAATCCATGAAAACATTGGTTGGGTTAACTGATAGTCGAGGTGGTAATTATGCAGAAATTCTTAACATGCCAGACAACTGCCAATTAAAAGTTGGTACAGAAATGGGAAAGGGGTTTCCTTTGGACTTTGAGTTTCCCACATGAACCCCTCACCCAAAAAAACAAACCTACTGCTGTCAAGTTGATAAGACAGAGCAGAACTCCCCATAGGGTTTCCAAGGCTATAATCTTTATGGAAGCAAACTGCCACATCTTTTCTCCCTTGGAGTGGCTGATGGGTTTGAACCGCCAACCTTTCAGTAAGCAGCCAAGTGCTTAACCATGGTGCCACCAGGGCTCCTGCAGGGCTCATCAAGGCACAGTGTGTGTTCAGAAAAGAGTGGATTTGTTATTTGTACATATTTTTCTTCAATAAAGACCAGAGAAGGACAGGCTGGTCTCTTATTTACTCTTTTGAGTCCTTCCCTCCACCAAAGTACGGCCCCTTGCCAATATATATAAATCATCCACATTTTTGTTTTCATGAGAGATTAGGCCATGTTTAATGCTCATTTACTGATATTAACCCTCAACACTGTAGATACTAGCCTGGGGAGAAAGTAAGGACTGCAGAGCAAAATCTAACATCACACATTCCCCTCTTATTGGCCTCCTACAGCTGTGTCATATTCTGTAGCTATTTTAAGTTAGCTTCAATGTATCAAATCTAAAACAACTCCTTGTTACAGATTTAGAGGAGATGGGTATGTAAACAGAAACAAAGTATTTTTTAAAAATATACGAATACTATAGTATGTTTTCATACAACTACTGATTTTTTTTTTAGATTCCTTGCATTTTTATTAAGTACAGTTTTACTAACTGAAATTATAACATTTCAATCACTGCAAGTACCTCACCAGGCACAGGTCTGTCCTATACTGGTTTCCCAAACATGACCAACACAAGAACAGCTGAGTTTATTGCTTACTGGAGTAAGGGAGGGCACAGTTGTTAAGAGTTTGGCTGCTAACCAAAAGGTCGCAGTTTGAATCCACCAGCCGCTCCTTGGAAACCCTATGGAGTGGTTCTACTCTGTCCTATAGGGTCGCTATGAGTCAGAATAAACTCAACAGCAATGGGTTTGTCAGTAAAGGAAGAGACCACCTCACAGAGCATTAGCAGTGTCTAGGAGAGCGGAAGGCAAGGTCAGAATTTATTGAGAATTCTAAGTTTGAAATACAGCAGGTCTTTCAAAGAGGGGATGGAGGGGAGTCTTGATTAGTGTTGGGTAAGGATCAGGAGGAGCCCTGGTGGCGCAGTGGTTAAGCGCTTAGCTGCCAATGAAAAGGTTGGCAATTTGAACCCACCAGCTCCATGGGAGAAAGGTGTGGCAGTCTGCTTCTGTAAAGATTTACAGCCTTGGAAAACCTATGGGGCAGTTCTCTCCTGACCCAGTTCTCATAGGGTCGCTATGAGTCAGAATCCGCTCAACTGCAACGGGTAAGAATCACGATTCAGCAGTCCAAGATGGGTGGAAACAGAAAGGCAGGAATTTTGAGGCTAGGGGTTCAAATCATTTCAAAGCCATAAACTGGATGTTTTCCATTGAAGAGTTGATCCGACTTCCTGTAATCAACAATTCAGCCATTTGCCTAGGCATGAGATCCAGGGAAAAAAAAGTCACGCTAATAAAGTCAGTAATAGAGCAAAGTGATTTTAAAGTAGATAGTACGGGTGGGTGAGTTATCAGTCTCCAGGCTGCCTGTGAAGGTAGATGGTTTCGGTTCTCAATTCTATTCAGGTTACTTAATTTTGTAATAAATGAACTAAAGCATTTGAGTTTTTACTTGCAGCTTCTTATATTTGTGGCAATTTGACACAAACAGCTTTTTTCCTGTTAGGATTTCTTTGCAATCATTTATCAGTTTACTAACACATTCCTTGTGTTTGGAGGGAAAATTACAACAGGAAAATTTCCCAAACAGATGCCCAGCAACAGTCACTGCCGGAACCCTGCAACAAATGCTGCAAACCGAGAGGGGGCAGCAGAGGGAGACTGAACTCTGATTATTTTAAAACAGCAACCCATCATTTTGGGCAGTACCTCGTTCCACTCCTTTTTTGTCCCTGGGTGGTGTAAACGGTTAACACACTCGCTACTAACTTAAAGGTTGGGGGATCGAGTCTAGCCAGAGGTGCCTCAGAAAAAAACCCTGGCAATCTACTTCTGGAAAAATCAGCCATTGAAAACCCTGTGGAACATAATTCTACTTTGACACACATGGGGTCTCCAAAAGTCGGAATTGACTCCACAGCAACTGTTTAATCTTTTCTTAAGAGGCAACTGAAGAAGAAATCATGGGTTCTGGGTCCTTCCCAAGAGATGAAAATCTTTAAAACCTTTAAAGAGGCAGGAAATTGCCATCTTTTAAAAAGTTCCAGCTCTATCTTCAGACCACCTGTCTTTTTCCCTTTAAGCTGGAAGCAGGGAAATTGTGCAGGATCACTGCAAGCTCCGTTTCAGATTCCATCTTAACCCAGTTCCCGAGTAGCATGTCAGTTCCATTAGACGCCTCTGACTTCCGTTGTCTCTCCCGGACACACGTTGGTAGTCACAGTTTCAGAGGCGCAGGAGGGTGCTTTGGGGCAATGAGGCATCCTTAGTGGGGAAGTGGCAGTCTAGGGTGCAGGCACTGAGGATGCTTAACATTTGAAAGAAGTGTGAACACTGTATTTACATTTAAATTAAAATGGAAACTTCATATATGTTACGTTTCTGAAAGGTGTGTGTGGCACATCTGCTGAGGTCTATTGTTTATTCATGCTGTAAATCCTTTGAAATGTGTTAAAATGCTTCCCACTCATTATAAAGCGCCTGCCACCCCTGGATTACGACTTTGATGTCACCAATCCTGCTTCAAAGGGTTCTTTCTGGGCTATTAATCACAGTTTAGCCTCTGAAGATATCGCCAGAGAAAACATTTGGACATCTTTGTGCTAGACTTGCTAAAACTTTGAAATCTTGAGTGCCTTGCATATGCACAAATTGCAGCATTTCCTTTCATTGACAACTTTTTAGTTTGCTACAGAATCAAATGGCACTGTAGGTAAAAATGCAAACAAATCTCTTCACGCACTTGGTTTGGGGGGCAGGGAATCTGAGAGGCTGCGGAGGGTGGGTGGTGGGGAAGGGAGAAGAGTCTGAGATCAGGCCACTTAGGCCCTTCAAAGGTAAAAATAAATCCAAAGTTCAAAAGGGGGTTGCCTTATCATTTTTTTGTTCATCCTTCATTAGTTTTACTATTTAAACTAACCGGTGCTCACAGTAGCAGATTGGTGAGATTCCCTGGTCTTATCTTGCCTGCTGCTCTCTGCTTTGAGACTTGCATGAACTGTTCAGAGCAAGAAAGAATAATAATAAATACTAGCTAACATGCAAGCACTTAACAGGACCAGCCCCGTGGTGACAGTGCTTTCTGTGAATTACCTCCCTGAATCCTCAAGACAACAGATGAGAAAAGGATCTGAGAAGTTAATTAACTTGTTCAAGGTCACACTCCTCCACTCACACCCCCTGTAAGCAGCAAAACTCTGCTGGGCCCCCAGGACTCAGCACTCCCTGCCCTGCTGGTGCACTGGGGTGGCCCAGTTCCTCCCTTCATAATGAAGGATCCTTACTGCCCGATCTGCTTAGCCGCTTCTTAACCCCTTGCGGTGTCCTCTATTGTCCACCTTCTCTCTCAGAAAACTTCCTTGAACATCTTTTTTCTTGTATGTTGATCTTTTTCAGTGACCTGCAGCGCTCTAGTTGGAGACTTCTTTTGTTGTTTCTTTTTATAGATTCAATCTGTATTTGTATTATAATTTGTTTATAATTTATATTATTGAATTTTTTAAATTGAAATTGTCCCCAGTTTCCAAATTCAGAGCATATCGTTTGGGAATTTCAGAAAAATAAGAACACAGAGGCGAAAATCATTCATCATCCTATTCCTTAACTTTTCCTTCAACTTAAATTCTTTGTTCTTATGCAGGTAATTTGGCCCAAACAAGAGCCAGGATAACAGCGGCCTCAAGGTCTTTGCCTCCGCGTTTCAGTGCTGGCCGAGCCAAGGTGAGTAGCAGCTTTACACCCAAAATGATGTGGGCCAGGGGGGTGCTACTGTCCCTGGGAAAATCCTAGGATAGGCAACGTTAGTTTACTTCATCCTGTCCGCTATTGGGCAGTCTGATAAAGACATCAAAGGCGTTTATGTAATCACGGGTTAGAAATTTGAAACATCATCATGGAATCCTTATGGTCCTACTCTCCAGAAGCACCACTTAAGATGCAGAATACTAACACTTGATAATAAAATCCATTCAGGAAGAAATAAAGCATTTTTTTCTTGTGACCATTGCCAACCTAAAAAAAAAACTTGCCATCAGGTTGATTCCCACTCATTACAACCTCTTGTGTGTCAGAATAGAACTGTGCTCCATAGGCTTTTCAATGGTTAATTTTTTCCAGAAGTAGATCAGCAGGTCTTTCTTCTGAGGTGCTTCTGGGCGGACTCAAACCTCTAACCGTTTGGCTAGCAGCTGAGCTGTGTTAACCTTTGGCATCACCCAGGGACTTCATCCCCAGCTTACAGAGAAGGTTATCAGTGACTAAAGGGAGTCGGTAGGGAGGACAGAAACCAAACTGTCTTCCTCTTACTCTGCTTTACCCTCTGAAAAATGAGTTGTATACTTGTCTATGGAATGGGGATGTAAGAAAGGTTAATAAAAATTCAGCTGTAAAATAGTGTTAACTGTTCACCTTTCCAGCTAATGTTTAGCAAGGGTCTCAAGGACTGGCTGGTTAATGTTCATTGTAAATACTGACACCAAAAAACAATTATCTTGAAGGTGATGGAGTAGTAAAATAATCAGGTCACAGCTCTGAATTTTCTTATTTTTTTTAACATTGCATATTAAACAATTTATTTCATAAAGAATAAACAAGTTGACCACATACAATAGTGTTGAATATTATCCCAAATTGATACATACATTCATCTATACTTATTTCCCCTAAGAGTAGAAGACTTACCTGTACATAGTAAGTACTCAAATTATTTTTGTTAACTATAATTTTATACTCACATTGCTATTAGAATCTGTGTGATACCCTACTTTTTAACCCTGCCACTTTGTGTCAAGATATTAGGGATATTTAACATGAGGTATGCGGGCCCCTAGGAGAGATTTATATAGGAATATCAGTAGTTCTTATGAAAATTAACCAATAAAAACCCTGTGGACACAATGGTCTGATCTGCATTTGATTGTGGGGATGGTGCAGGGCTAGGCAACATTTCCTTTCATTGTGCCTGGGATCAACACGAGTGAGGGCCCTAAGGACAACAATCAAGAATCAAGTGGTTCTGAAAACCTCTTGATGTTACATGTAAAATTTTGTTTGTGTTTGTTGGAGTCACTGGCTCCCACCAGATTCTAGAAGGGGTCATGACACAAAAAGATTAATGACCACCGTGCAGTATTCCCTGTCAGCCCATGTTGCTCTCCTTTCCTCTATTAGATTTTTTTGACTCCTGGAGCCTGCCTGCACCTGTTCACCTGCCTTCCATACCTAGAATATCAGCATAGTGTTACCTTACCTCCCTGCACTATTCAGGCCCTGCCCATCTGACAACCGTGCCCTCCGTATGGGCATATATTTATGTCATTATAATAATAATGATACAGATAAGATGAAAGTGTCTAGAGATTTGTTTTCACTTGGACAGGAGATGCGTTGAAAGTTCTAGTTTAGGCATCTGAAAATATGAAGGGTGACAACAGCAATAAAAAGTCCCCATCAAATATGCATATGAGAAGATGCTCATTGTATTTAGTCAGTAGAGAAATGAAAGTCAAACCATAATGAGATACCACTTCACACACACACAGTAGGACAGCTATTAGCAGAAACAGATAGAAAAATAAGTTGGTGAGGATGTGGAGAAATCGAAACCCTCATTCACTGCTGATGGTTCAGTCACTGTGGAAAACAATTTGGCAGTTCCTCAAAAAGAGTTAAACATAGAATTACCGCAGTTAAACATAACAATTCCACTCCGGGGTGTATACCCAAAAGAATTGAAAGCAGGTACTCAAGCAGATACTTGTACACCAATGTTCACTGCAGTGTTATTCACAATAGCCAAAAGGTGGAAACAACCCAAGTGTCCATCACCATATGAATGGATAAACAAAATGTGTATCCATACAATGGGATATTATTTAGCCATAAAGAGAAATGAAGTTCTTATATATGCTACCATATGAATGAGCCTTGGGAACATTATGCTGAGTGAAATAAGCCAGACACAAAAACAAAAATATTATATGATCCCATTTAAATGAAATAACTAGACTAGGCAAATGTGTAGAGATAGAAAGTAGATTAGTGGTTACTATGGGCTGAGGTGCAGAGTTTCTGTTTAGGGTGATGAAAAAGTTTTGGAAACAAATGATGATGGTTGTACAACATAATGAATGTGACTAATGCCACTAGATTGTACATTTGAAAATAGTTAAAATGGCAGATTTTATGCGGTGTGTATTTCACCACACACACACACACAATCTCCATCAAGTCCTCTGTGCTTTGCCGAAGAAAAAATACCAGAGGACGTCCTGGATTAAGCTGGGCTCCAGCCCATTGAGCATCACTGCACAGGGGCTGGTTTTCATGCCCAGTTTTGCTTTCCATTCAGAGGCTTTTGAGAGGAGTAATGTTATAGGGGTTTTCTTTCCCTGAAGGGTGGATGGATCACTGGGTAGCAGTAAAAATTCTTGACAAAAGGCCTTGTCAAGAAGATAATAAGTATAAGCACTTCTGAGGTTTCAGGATGCAAATAGTGAGCACCCATTGAAACCAGGAGAAGATTCTTCAGTTTCTCATTTATTGCTGAAACCTAGGTGGTTTATGGGACTTTTGAGTCAATGTCTTTATCCTAGAGTAAATTTAGTTGACAGATAAAGCAAATCTTTTTAATAATTCCATGCTTTAAGACTGATTTTATAAGCTATCAAACCACACAGAGAGCAGTATACAAAGTATAAGAAGTAGGGTTTTGGAATCAGAATGGCTTCAAATCTAGGCATTACCATTTACTAACTGTAAGACTTCGGGAAATGTACCTAAGATCTCTGCACTTTAACGTCTTCATATGTAAAATATGAATAATAATAGTACCTACCTTATAGGGTTGTTTTGAGGATCCAAAGACATAAGGTAGGCTGTTCAGCCTGGGAGTGGACAGGACCATAAAACCGAATGGGACTAATGAGGTACAGCAGTCCAGGGACAAGGGCCAGAAGGCAGAAGGGGACAAGGAAGCTGGTGATAGG